CATCCATTCATTCAATTTCTATAGCTGTCCAACTCAACCAAGTGATTTCTTAGATATCAGCATATTTGGCCTCTGACCCTCCCAAATCGACTCAAGAATCTTATTTTGTCAGCCATAGAGAGCTCTCTCTATTAGGTGATGATGAAATCTACATAAAACTAACCTGTGAGAGATTACAGGTAGTCCTCAACTTACAACAGTTCATTTAGTGGCCATTCAAAGTCTCAATGGCACTGAAAAAAGTGACTTATCACTATTTTTCATGCTTACAACCATTGCAGCGTCCCCGAGGTCACGTGATCCAAATTCAGGCACTTGGCAACTGACTCATATTTATGACGGTTGCAGTGTCCAGGTTCATGTGATCACCTTTTGTGACCTTCCCTTAACCAGATTCACTTAACAACCGTGGCAAGAAAAGTTGTAACATAAAGCAAAACTGAACTGTCTCCCATAGCAACAGAAATTCTGAGCTGAACTGTGGTCGTAAGTCGAGGACTACCTATCATTCTAAGAAAAACTGCATGCTTTATTTTAGATGATATAAACAAGCACTTTTCTTGGCATTACCTTAAAACAGGCATTCCCTCCTGGGAGATGAAAGAGTGAGGGGGGGGGGATGAGAAATGTCTCTTTTGAAGGGTGCCAGCAAACCTACCTGCTTTTTTTTTAAAGTATTTGTATTCAGTAGAATAAATACTTTTAAAAACATACTAATCGATTAATCAGAGCCAGCCTTGCAGTTCATCACAATGCTTCCAAACTGGGCAATCTGACTTGAGTCATAAAAATCAATGAAGGCATGAATTGGATGCATGTCCTCCCTCCCACCCTCCCAAAATACACTTTACAGAAACAGTAGTCAGTGAAAGGAAAACAAATTACGCACAGGTAGTCCTCGACTTACAGCAGTTCGCTTAGTGACCATTCAAAAGTTACAGTGGCACTGAAAAAAGTGAGTTACGAACCATTTTTCGCACTTATGACCATTGCAGCATCCCCATGGTCACGGGATTTACATTTGGATGCTTGACAACTGACTCACATTTATGACGGTGGCAGTGTCCAGGGTTGTGTGTGATCCCCTTTTACGACCTTCTGAGAAGCAAAGTGAATGGGAAAGCCAGATTCACTTAACATTGCAAAAAAAAAAAAAAAAGTAGAACAGGGCTAGACTAAATTTCTCACTTAGCAACTTTAAATTTTGGGCTCAATTGTGGTCATAAGTTGAGGACTATCTGTAATAGGGGGAAAAAGGCAGGGGAAAATAATCAGCCTCCATACTGAGTTAAGGAAAGCAAAGAATTTGGAGGAGGAAGAAATTCCGACTATGCAGAGCAACACACCTCTAGTTTTTATTCAGGTAGTTCTCGACTTACAACTGTTCACTTAATGCCCATTCAAACTTACGAGGGGACTGAACAGTGACTTATGACCAGTTCTCACACCCATGACCATTGCAGCATCCCCACAGTTATGTGATCAAACTTTGGGGGCTTCATAACTGGCGTATATTAAAAGATGATCCCAGCATGTTTTGGGATCATTATTTTCAACCTTCCTAGGGAGCTTCTGATAAGCAAAGTTGATGGGGAAAGCCAGATTGGCTTTACATGTATGATTCACTTAACAGCTGTAGCGATTCGCTTAACAACCATGGCACAAAGGTCATAAAACGGGGCACAACTCACCTACCAACTACCATTGCTTAGCAATGGAAATTTTGGGCTCAATTGTGGTCATAAGTCGAGGACTACCTGCAGCTGGATTCAAAATCCCTCCACAAATTGAAAGTGAGATGTACCGTAGACTTGGGTCCGAGCTCCCTAGATTAAGCAGCGCGATGTTCAGCAGCGTTCCTGGCACATCCTTGGGACGGATTTTCGTATGTTGCGGTATAGAGTCGGGCTGGGATAGTTCCCATCGTGTCCGTATATGAATGATGGACTGTACAATAGCTTCGCACTCCTGGTGCATGAAAGTCAGAGGTGTGCCTTGGTTGGCAATGGTTAAGGTGAACTGGTTTTCATCCACAAGGCAGATTTCTTCTATTTCAGAAGCATAGTAAATGTCATTCAGGAACACGGTCTGGCCCAGGACTCTGGTGCGCTCAGCTGAAGTCACTTGGACAGCGGTGGAGCCAACCTGTGGAAGGCATTGAGTTTGGGTGGGAGAAAAGAAAATCAAGGCACCCCCAAATAGCGCCCGCTAGGGCAGGGGTGTCCAACGTGGCGACTTTAAGATGTGTGGACTTCAATGCCTGGAATTCTGGGAATTGAAGTCCACCCATCTTAAAGTTGCCAAGGTTGGACACGCCTAAGTAATGGTACTCCCTTACAAAGATAAAAAGGTATCTCTCCCCTGCAATAGGCTTTCATATTCTTTCGAAATGTTTTGAAAATGGCATCGCAATCATTACATCATTTTGTTACAAGATTCATGATCGCCTGGAATCCAAATCCAATCATTCTTAAGCAGGGGTTTCAAACTCGATCCTGTCATGGGCCACATCAGGATTTTGTTTGCCTTTGGGGGAGGGCTGGGGGGGGGCATAGCCTTGGTATCGCAGCCAACTAGGTAGGTATGGCTGGGGCCGGTCCCTCGTCATCTCTGGCACAGCCCTTGGGCCAATGCCATGGCCTATCGCAGGCCAGATTCAGCCTGCGGGCCACGTCTTTGACACTCCTGTTCTTAAGGGTCAACTTTTTTCAAGTAGAAAATACACGACTATTTCATCTGACTTAGTACAGCTAGCTAGTTAGTTAAAGCAGTAGCCACTGAAAGTTATGCAAAATGTGGGCAAAGAACTTTGTGTATAATATTAGGTCAAGTCTACCCCAATGTGTCCAACTCTAAGGCACAGTGTTCATCTCTGGTTCTTGGCTGAGGGAGCCAGCACTGTCTGAAGACATTTGCTGTGGTCATGTGGTCAGTATGGTATATGCCAAAAGTGCACAGTTTGCTGTTACCTTCCCACCAAAGTGATACTTATTTATCCACTTGCATTTGCATGCTTTTAAACTGCTAGGTGGGCAGGAGCTGGGGCAAGGAACAGGAGCTCACCCCATTGTGTGGCACTCGGGTCTCGAACCTGGGCTTTCCAGCTGACATGCTCAGTGTCTTTAACCACTGAGTCTTCACACCCACTCTCAGATATAATATTGTGTTTGATTAAATATGAGCCAGCTGTGTGCTGCAGCTGCCAAAAAAGTCAACACAGTTCTAGGCTGCATTAACAGAGGGATAGAATCACAATCACATGAAGTGCTAATATACTTTATAATGCTTTATAAGGCCACACTTGGAATCCTGCATCCAATTTTGATCGCAACAATGTAAAAAAGATGTTGACACTCTAGAAAGAGTGCAGAGAAGAGCAACAAAGAGGATTCAGGTACTGGAGGCTAAAACATACGAAGAATGGTTGCAGGAACTGGGTATATCTAGTCTAATGAAAAGAAGGACTAGGGGAGACATGATAGCAATGTTCCAATATCTAAGGGGTTGCCACAAAGAAGAGGAAGTCAAGCTATTCTCCAAAACACCTGAAGGGCAGGACAAGAAGCAATGAATGGAAACTAATCAAGGAGTGAAACAACCTAGAATTAAGAAGAAATTTCCTGACGGTTAAAACAATTAACCAGTGGTACAACTTGCCTCTAGAGATTGTGAATGCTCCAACCCTGGAAGTTTTTAAGAAGAGATTGGACAACCATTTGTCTGAAATTGTTGTGGTTAGCTGGCAGCAGGTACGGACGGATGAGGAGAGCGAGGACTCAGATGAGGGGCCAGGACCATTAGAAAGTAGACTGCTGCCTTCAGAGATTGTGGGGGCTGGCAGCAGCTATGAGGAGGTTCCTGAGGAGCCTATGCCAAGTGCGCATGTGTGCAGGATTGCTCGCAGGAAGCAGCTGTTGTAGCTGTACCTTGTTGTAGCAAGGTAATGGCCCCTCCTTCAAGAAGATAAAAGCCAGCTGTGAAATGAACACTCTTTGCAGAAGGCAAAGATGTTTTGAAACTCCAGCCTCGTGGACATTCCAGTATCCTGAGTTTGTATTTGAAGATTCTTGTATTGCAAATTATTTCTTATCTGTTATCTTTTGGCAAGTCTTGCACAGTTTGGCAAGTCTTGTGCTTACCACTGCTAATTATTTTGCAGAAGCATTAAAGGGTTTCTGTTCCCTTGGATTGTGTTTGATTTGTTGGAAAAGGCATGGGTCAGAACAATAATGGCATGAGCAGAGGGTCGCCTGAGCAGGGGGTTGAACTAGAAGACCTCCAAGGTCCCTTCCAACTCTGTTACTCTATTCTATTCTAATCCTGGATTTGAGTTCACTCATCTTACAGTGGCCGTGGTTGAGAAGCATTTACTGCAAGATACCAGATTGGGAAAACACTGCTGTAAATGCCAAAAATACAGTAAACTGGAGATCAAAAGCACACGACTTACTTTAATGGAAACTTTGGTGTCTTTGTGGGCCAGTTTGAGGGCATTGTGGAAAACCTTCAGGTCTTCTTCCAAAGCCAAAGTGGCTGCTGGAAGTTTCTGCTGGTCATGGTCTATGTGCTCGGCCAATTTCCCAGGCGAGTCAATGAAAATGAGCCTCTTGCTGCCTTTCAGACCCGTCAGGAGTCGCTCATGGTACTTGGTGTATTCCCTCACCCACGAGTTGCAGTTGTAGATGAAGACGGCAGAGACGTTTTCGTAAGCGAATCCCGGGAAAACTACAAACCACTTGGACAGGAAGTCTGTTTTGAAACGGTTGCTGGGCCCGGCGTGAGTGAGGTCAACTACGATCTCATATGGCTTGGCATAGTAAGGCTTCAGCGTCAACAAAACATGATATATCAACAGGTCACCATTGATTTGGCCGGTCTTAAACCTAGATGGGGGAAAATAAATCACAATTATACAATATACAAAAATAACAACGGAAAATAAATAACAAATTAGCTGTCATGATTTATTTATAGGTGAATTTAGTCAAGTGATTGTAAGAGGTATGTAGGATACAACACAATAGTCCATCCTTTTGGCATGCCTGGGCTGCGATGAAGAGAATTGTCTTGGACCACATAAAATATATATAATATACAGTAGTCGATGTATATAAATCACATAATGTTAGAAGTTTATAAATCTTGTGGGGCCATATTTACTAGCTTTTCAGGGTCACATGTGGCCTATAGGTTGTGGGTTGGATACATTTGCGCTAGAACCAAAACAACAATAATACAATCATATACACTAAAATCTAACACAACATGTACATATGGCACAATTGATCCCAGAAGTAGTAATTGATCCCAGAAGCAAATGCCTGGTGCTGAGAAACACACACATTCATGTTCCAAGCTGTCTGGAAAACTAAATTCTTAGGAGTGTCTAGGAGGCTATAAATAAAGGTAACTATCAGTAAGAAGTTACATACTCCAGAAATAGCATTCCTCACATCCCCAGCCAATATAGGTAGTCCTCAATTTACAACCGTTCATTTACTGATTGTTCAAAGTTACAATGGCACTGTAACCATTTTTCACACTTACAACCATTGCAGCATTCAGAGGCTTGGCGACTGACTCATACTAACGACAGTTTCAGTATCTCGTGGTCATGTGATCCCCTTTGGCGACCTTCTGACAAACAAAGACCGGGGGGGGGGGGGAATCCAGACTCACGTAACAACCGTGTTACTAACTTAACAACTGCAGTGATTCACTTAACAACTGTGGCAAGAAAGGTTGTAAAATGGGGCAAAACTCACTTACCAACTGTCTTTGGATTGAGATGGGCGGCTATAGAACAATTTATTGAACAAATAAATAAATAAAATACATGACGGACAGCGATAGGCATTCGCAAACATGGATTTCAAACCTTTTATTAAACAGATGGGAATCCGTAATAAGAACATGCTTGAAGAACACGCAATCCAAATTCAGTCTTTCGAAAGCAAGGTGGAAAATAGGTATAGGTTGTATTGCAAAAGATCCATATATGTTATGCTTTATTGCAGCTTTCTCCAAGCACATGCCATCTATATGCACTGAGCTACAACCCCACAATTCCGAGCAATTGACCATTTGGTCAATGAGGTTCTTCTCCATCTTGGGGAATGCCATTAAAACAGTATTAAAATATGCAGATCTATGAATTAGAAAGGATTATTATTGACCCTATACAAAAAATAAGGGTGTCCCTGCGGATTTTACTCCACTAGTGGTTACTGAGTGTGTGTGGGGGGGAAGTGTTTACTCTGTTTCAAGGCCATTGAGCCAACGTTGTCTGAAGACATTTCTGTGATCACGTGGCCAGCATTACGTCACAGAGTGCTGTTACCTTCCCATTGAAGTGGTACCTATTTATCTACTTGCATTTGCATGCTGTTGAACTGCTAGGCTGGCAGGAGCTTGGGTGAGGACGGGAGCTCACCCCATAGTGTGGCACTCAGGTCTCGAACCTGGGCTGCTGAGTTTCCAGTTGACAAGCCCAGCATCTTAACTGCTGAGTCACTGCGCCCCCATTATTGATCTTATAATCTCAACACATTACTTCACTATTGGTCTGAAAATCTCTATGATGACGGAAGTGGCTTCAACGATCACACACACACGCACACACACACACACACACACACACACACACACAGTTTTTCCACAAAATTCAATGATGAACACAGAACTCCGTCCAGAAGAAATAGCAACAAAAGAATGATTCCATCAATGATTCAAAAAATTGGGCCCATTGGACATTGACAAACAAACCGGAAACTATCTCTCAGAACGAGTTCCACATGAAATCCCTATTGAATTGTGTAGTCTGCAAGTGTTCACATTACGCCCATGCTTAAACATGAGAATGAGGTCACTTATAAGAGCAGTGCTGTTGTAATTAATTTAACTACTGGCACTTCACTTACAAGCCCGGCTATTTAATGAGATAATAATTCAGATGCTTAATTTGCTGGGAGCTGAAATGTGGTGTCGTGCTACTTAATTGGATGTGTCCAAAAGCATCCAAATGATTAGAAGGAGATGAGCAGAAATATTTAGATACCTTCAGGATATCAACAAGTTCATTTAAAGCAGTTCTTCTAACCTAGTTTTAAAAGTTCACTGTTTTCAGGAGGAAGATAAGATCTTAAAGATATTTAATGCAACAGGTATTTGCAGATATTAACCAAATCTGGAGATAGAAATAGTACATTAACACTGGAATAGTTGAGGGTCTCCTGGATTTTTCTTCTTCTTACAGTTTAAATAATGCACTCAGAATCTGAAACAGTTCTAGGATTAGAAAAATACTGTCTTCTAACTAGTCACAACTGGGGTGGAACACTTTTAAATGTACTTTTGCTGCTACAGCTGCATAAGATCAGAAATTTGTTTGGAAAGATTATTATCATTAATAAGATTCAGAGAGCTCATCTGATAAAAATGTACTCTCATCTTTCCCTGACTCTTTCAAAAGTATTATTCAGAGGATGCTAAGATTTAGGATCTTGTGGTGTGCACATATATTTGTCTCGGTATGTACGGGCCATCTCTATGTTTGCCCACATGGCAAAGGTAGATAACATGGTGTGTATGTGTAGGTGTGTAGACAAACATAGTTTATATCCACTGTATGCAAAATTACCATTATTAGTGTCCAACCAGCTGGTAGCCCCTGGCTAAGCAGGATTAGGTCTGGTTAATACTTGGATGGGACAAGCCAAAGTATCTCCTTGGAGGGGGGAGAGGGGGGCAATGAGTTAACCCCTTGTTGTGTTTTGCTTGTTGTATTTTTTAGGATGTGATTTTTTCAAGGGGGGACGCCTGTCAGCTTTGAAAGCCATACTGAGATCAGATGCTCCCACATTGCCACATTTTGAGCCTGGGAAAATGGGAGGGGGGGAATTTCTTGGAGTGTATGAAGTTAGACATAACATTCTTTTTCAATGTCATGCTAGTTTACACATAAGTGAGAGGAAGTCTCAAGTTGGGACGGATGGTGATTGGGGCATGTGATGTGATGATGGGTGCAGGGGATGGATTTGTAGTTTTTGCTTATTGCAAGGAAGCCCGGAACTTTCAGATTCGGGATTCCCCAGATGTGCTAGTTTACTATCCAATTAAAACAGAACTTTTGAGAAGATGTCTATCTCCGAGTTATTTGTTGGAGTGGCGATTTTCTGGAACACTGACAATACCATTGAAAATACTAATGCTGTAAAGTAGATTGGGAAGTAAAAAATAAAATAAAAAATCCCAAGAGAGATGGCAAACCACTTCCATGTTGTTGCCAGGAGAACTAGAGAGCCATGTTCATCAAATTACCGGAAGTCAAGCTGACTCAAATAAGACTTTCATTTGGCCCAGCTAAGTAACTGATTTCAAAAATGAAATAGAGTAAGACCTGGACAGACCATGCTTAGGAAACCACCAGGAAATCCCAAGACGGCTAGACCAGAAATTGCAAAGACATTTTGGAAGAGGGCAACAACAAAACATTTCCTCATTTTTGCCAAGAAAATTACATGAAGATGTTCATGAAGTCAGGAGTTGAACATGATTCATGTGGAGACTTTATTCTGAATCTTGGTTCTGAATGGTTACAACAGAGTAGGTGATTTCTAACTGTATTTGCTCTTCTTACCCAGAGCAAAGTATCCATAAATGGTCACTACAGTACTGATGAAATTCAATCCCACTCAATCTAGCTACAATCTTGTGACATAAAACAAACAAAAAAACCCAATATTCTGAATCAAAAGCCTATATTCTACCGGTCTTTTCTTAGGGAGGCTATTTCTAACAGTCACCCCAAAGATCCTACATTTCTTTTTCTCCTTCCATGTAACAGCTGGACAATTTGTTGGTCTAAATATAATGCTGTTGGTTTACCTTGCACTGGGTGCCGCATATTCAATACCCCCATCTATCCAGATCAATTCTACTTAGGCAAGGAAACTAATTAAGTATCATTGAGAACCACTTTGGTATAGTGGTTAAGGTGCTGGCCTAGAAATAGGGAGACACTGAGTTTTAGTTCTGCCTTAGGCATGAAAGCCAACTGGGTGATTTTGGGCCAATCATCAGGAGACTGTGAGTTCTAGTCCCACCTTAGTCATGAAAGACAACTTGTTAACTTTGGGCCAGGTGCTCTGTCTTAGTCCAACCCACCGCACAGGGTTGTTGTTGTGGGGAAAATAGGAGGGAGGAGTATTGTGTGTATGTTGAATTATTTAGAAAAATAATAAAGGCAGGATAAAAACCAACAAACAAATAAAATATATGAGAAGGGCAAGGTGACATGCAGAATTCTTCAAAACCTAACATTTCTTGGCCTCAAGTTAGTGGAATGTGTATAAACTATAGCATGCTATAGGGACAGCCACATTTATCCATTTAACTGCTTAGAATCTGAATAGCAAAAGAGAAAGAGACCTGGTGTCAAACAAATGCAACTAAAACTGAGCAAAAGAAAGGCCTTTGACACAATCCCTGAGATGTTTTTGTGCTTTATTCTGCAATCTTGACAGCAAATTTGGGCAGAATGGTGATGGTTCCTCCTCCACCCCTTCCCTTTTTCCTCTAACACATCACATTATGCTTAGAGCAGAAAGGAAATGTGTCATCTTTGTGGTTTAGTTTTCTAAATGGAGAACTAAACCCCGTGTTTCAGACGCACATTCACTTTTAATATATAAAAACAACTCCAACATCCAGGCGGTGCCACGGTAAAACAGAGAAAAAATATCTCTGGGTTAGATTATCACCAATTTGCACAACAATACTTTCTGCTGGTGTCTCCTTCAGGTAAGTCTGCATTACTTTTGACATGACAGCAGTGTTCCAATATTTATTTATTTATTTATTTATTTATTTTGGGGGGGGGGGC